AATATTTTAAAAACTTCTCATTAATGACGCCATCTTCGTTCTCACAGGTAGCTTAAGAGAGACATTTGGACCGTTAACACCTGATGCTTTGGTCTCCAGCAGCTGCTTCTAAAACTGTCCACTCAACAGGCTGCTAGGAAACTGCTGACTCCTTCCTGCACAACTATGGAGAAATCCTGCTCTCTGAAAGAAATCTTTCACCTCCTAGACACAAAGCCCTTCTCAGGCAACTGGGGCACCTGGGCCCAGCATCATTCCAGTGCAGATGGGAGAAGGGGCAGGTGGGGTGAGACCAAGCATCACTTTTCGCCACCAAAGTCAGCAAGGAGCCCATACCACCCTCTTCAGGGAGTTTCCAGGGACTTGAGGCAGGCAGAATTTGAGGGCCACTGTCAAGGTTCTGATGGAATACTTGCCTGTCACAGAACTTCACCTTAGGGCCTGGGCACAGTGGGTCTGGAAGACATTCAAGGTTCAAAGTGGCAGCAACCATGTGCTTCAGAGCACAGGGACACCGCCTGCAGTGCACCTGCTGCCCTGTTTCTCTGAATTGTCCTCAACCAACCTCACCACTCCCCCTCACCTCGTTTCTAGTAAGAAAGCTTCAAAGACAGAATGCAGAAAGGAAGCATATCTCCAGTCTGAAACATCATTTGGTTTCTGGTTTAAAGCCAAAACCAGAGTGGGCTACACAATTTTGTGTACTCTGCCTTAAAAGGGCAGCTCTCTGTACTCTATCCCTTACTAATAATTGGATGAATCAAAGAACAGGAGGAAGGACATGTCAAGTCTTCGTCTTCTCACAGGCCTTCTCAGGAGGCCCTGGATTGCTCTCTGCACTGCAGCCTTCCAGATGCCAGTGCAGAGGGTTTCTCTTTTTAGGGCATCTTTCTATTGCGTTGCTCCTCTCCTTCCTCTCCCAGCTGGACTGCATCTGCCTGGAGGCAGCGTCCTCACCCAAATCCCAGGAGCCCACAACTACTCATGAGGGGGTGTACAGGCAGGCAGAGCCTCCTCTGGGATGAGGAGAGAGGGCACAGAGGGCAGGCATTCCAGCTGGAAATTCCTTGCAGCCTGCAGGACTTCGTCCCTCATCCAGACTCGTAAATGTTTACCTAATGGCTCCCCAGAAGAAGGACAGGAAATGGATGAGGGACAATGAGGGTGGCTCAGGGGACACTGGGAGCCTTTTTACCGAGACACAAAGGCAGGAACCTCTTGGAGGGATAGGAACTTGGGCTTTCCAGCTGCTCCCCTTCCTCTGATCTTTCAAAGCAGGTCACCAAAGTAGGAAGCTGCTAGAGGCAGTCACCCAAGCAGAGGTTGGCCCCCTGTTCAGGAAGAAGACTCAGGACTCATCCACCACCAAACCCCAGGAAGTGCTGCCAGCTGTGCTGACACTGAGAGCAACACCTGCCCAGGGCCCTACTGGGCAAACATTCCTGCCAGGCCCCCAACCCTCCCCTCGGCATTGTCAAGGTCAAATTCATCCCTACGCAGGCAGCTCCTGCAACGTGTTCTTACCCACCTCCCCCGTTTGCTTTAGTCAGCCTGATCCACAGTTCCAAATCCAGAGTAATTCATTCCGGACAGAGGTCAGGTATTTGTATACCAACGTGGCAGTTTCCAGGCAGAATAACCAGATGGCTTGTTTATTTCAGCCTAGGGAGGAAGAGCTGGGAATGGTTTGAAAGGCAGAATAGGGAGTATTTCCTTTGGAGCTGAGAGGACTTAAGAGGCAGAAAAGTGGAGTCCAGTTAAACAAATGTAAGTCTTCTGACCATAGGTCACTAAGTGGAGAAGGACTGGGAGGAGCTGCCACTCTAAGAAGAGAGTCTAACAAGGTCTCATTATCCTTTGGTTTCTTGGGCCTCCCAGTCACCCAGCTGATGATGAGACACAGCTGGGATCCTGGCTGGACGGCCTGAGGAGAGTGATCTGCACAGCAGGGGGCTTCACCCTCAGGGGCACTGGGTCCCTGGAGACCAAGCCAAGCACTCCAAGCACATTAGCCTAATTTCACTGGCCCCTGGCTCTTTCTTCCAACCCAAGCCTTCTAAGACAAAGAAGGGTAAGGGTTAAAAGGAAGAAACTGGCCCTGAACAGGCGAAGGCACCCAGGACATTGAGCTGATGATCTTGAATTTCTGAAGTCAGGAGAAGAAAAGGGACAGAAAGATATACTCCTAAGAAGATCTCCTGTAAATAGTAACATTAACTAAATTAAACATAAGTAAATACTAACGTAGTATTTGATTCATAAAAACTTCCATAAGCTGTATCTTCCCTGATCTTTACAGCAACCTTGGGAAAGTGCTACTGTCTGCAATTTGTAAAACAGGAGATTGACTCAACCGCCCTCCGTAGCAGCAGCATTAGTGGTGGAACAAGGATCTGATTCTGGGTCTTGTGACATTTTCCTCCTCACTCCAGGACCTCCGATTTCAGAAGGAAAAGGTCAGGCCAATCCATCCCATTGTCCCACTGTCCTACAAAGCAGATCACCACCACCTTATAAGAAATTCAGGGCTGCATGCCTCCTTAGGAGAAGGGGAATGGCTATGGTGCATGCTGAAATGATGGGGAAAAGGCACTTTCTGCTTCCTAAGCCTCTTTGGAAAGGCTGAACCCTGTCTAGACTGCCAAGCAGCCCCAAAGGCAGCACCAAAGAGAAAAATGTCAAGAAGTTAAAACCGGGGGAGACTGACATTCCCTTTCTCTGCTCTGCCTGCCCCCAGGATGGTCTGTCCAGCCCACTCTAATTTGGACCTTCTCAAAGCTTTAGCTTCTTCCACTGGTCACTCACAGTGGACTCTCAGGAGAGTAAAGTCAGCAAACTTGTGAGGTTTTTGTGTTTTTTTAAAATCCTGAATGGACCCCAAACTTCTGTGTTTACTTTTCAGCCAGATGTTCTGACTGCCAAGATTCAGGCTTGCAACTCTACATTCTGTGATTCTTCTCCCCCGGGAGGGCTTTCAGATTCTTTGATCGATAAGATGCACACTCTAGTGAGGGAGAGGCAAGGCTGGCAGAGGCCCTTTCCTGATCAACCCACTTCCATCAGTGTCCCGGCTACTCATCGGACCAGGCTACCATACATATCGGCCACCTGGACCACCTCTTAGCCCATCTGCCCACCAGAATCACACACACCCTTCAATCCCCAGCCCAAGGCCACCTCTTGCACAAAAACGAGTCTCTGATTATCCCTGCCTCTCCTCGTTTGTTCTTTCATTGCTATTTAATTAAGTGTCCTTCCCCCAGTTCTTCTCTAATTCTACTTGTGCTAATTAATTAAGAACATTGTTCATTTCCCTAATAGATCATATACTCCTCAGAGACAGATACTGTGTTGAATCCAACTCAGGATTCCCCCTCCACGATCATGTTTGGCAAGGGGATTAGTTTTACATGTAGTAGGAATATGATCGATAATTGTTAAAATGAAATTTACCTTGGTTTCTTAAAAAACAGGTTACCTATGACACAGATCAAAGGATCCCTGCACAAAAGACAGCCCCACTCTTCAAGCTGTCCTTGGGCAAACTTTATGGAATATGGTACCTCTCTCTCCAGTTGCATCCCCAGGGTACCTACAGCCAGACTCAGCCAGCATGAGACACAGAGAAGGTCAAATCAGACTGACAAAGGCAAGGTTCCGAGTTTGGTTAAAGATGTTAAAATTACAAAAGCAAAAGCAAGGAGTTGGTGCTATTATATGTCTCCAAGGAAAATCAAAGAAGGATTTTGGTGGGTAGGAGATAGTGAGGATGAGCTGGAGAAGGAAGAAAGGGAGTTCCCTGCAAAGAGCAAGGACCAAAAGGTGATGGCTGAGACCTGAAAGGATTTCCCACCATGACTAGGGAATGAGAAACCTCATCCCTTTTATGGGGAGGGGAAGCCCAGACACTCCTGAGGTGAAAGGTCATCACGGTCTCAGAGGGGGTCCTGCTCATGCCTCGAGATCAGCTGGAAACTGGCATCTGGGAGCAGAATAGAGGGAGGAAAGGTGGCCGAATACTAGCAGAAACCTCAGGTGGGGCCGTGAGCGAGGGAGCAGTGGGGAGATCACCTCAGAAAGTGCTTATGCAAAAGGCTGTGCCCTTCCTACAGGGTGGAAGATGGGAACAATCAATGATGGGGGAAGCAAGCCTGATTTGGGCCAAACACTAGTGGAGCAGGTGAAGGAATCCACCCCTTTCTCTGTATACACCCACACCCCACCCCATATGACCCCAACTTTCTTTATTGGCCAAGGACTTAGGGTTAGAACATAGCTACCCTGGGCCAGGCTCCAGGGCGGCAATGGTTACAGGGTGGTAGGGGTAAAGAAATCCAAAAATCAGATCTCTGCCAGCAGGGGGAGGAGAGGCCATTTCTACTGGAGATTAAAGATTTCTCTCTCTCTCTCTCTCTCTCTCTTCTCACTCTCTCACACACATACACACACACACACACGAATCTATTATGAACCTGCTAAGTAAAAACCTAATTCCAGTTTAAGGATAAGAGGTTTAGTCCAGAAAATCCTCCTTTTGAGGCAGTGTGGGGAGGATGTTATCTGTTCTCAATTTCCTATCAAATCACTCCTTCTGGGACCACATAGAAGACAACGACAATTCCTCTACCCAGGATCAGGCACGCAGGAGATGGAGGTTCATAATGAAACCCCACACACCTCTGCCTGGCTGCCCAGCCCCTCACACACTCCTTTGCCCAGACTTTCCTTTACTTCTGACTTTGGCCACAGGTCATTCAGGACGGAGGCAGAAGGCAGGGCCCATCTGGCTCCATCTCCCTCCTCGGAGGAAGTGGAGCACACAGGGGAGCAGAGGCTGCCTGATCTGTGCCCCCTCCCGAGGGGGCCACGCAACCATGTCTCCCTCACCATCCTGCCAGGGCTCACACCAACACACACAGAGGATACATCACAGGTGGGAAGGGCAGGGAACCTCGGGATTGGGAGAGCGGCTCCCCAACCCCCACGGCCCCAAGTAGTACCTGCCAAGGCCTTGATCCGGGACCTCTCAAAGAGCCTGGCTGAGCTGTTGTCATTATCCAGCTCATCATCCGGGGCATCCCAGCGGGCATTGATCCGGCTGTACGATGGCTGGTTGCCTACGTTTTCAAACTCCGTGGCCGATGTCATGTCAGCAGGCTCTCAGCAGCTATGCCTGCCTCAGTCTTCATGGAAGGGTCCCTGGGAAGGGGACAGCAACACAGTCAAAGGGTTAGCTCCCACCCCCATGGACTTTGTCTCAGGGGAAACTTATTTGGAGCATCCAACAGAAGTAGATCTTCGCGGGAGCAGCACACATTGCCCTCTGCTTGGCCATACTTCCTACCCAGGGTCTCTGGGTCTTCAGTTATAAAACATTGCAGCAGCAGCAGCAGCAGCAACAGTAACGGCGGCGGTGGCGGTGGGAACAGAGAGCTGCATGCAGCATGGGTCAGGACGGCCAGCAGGTGGAGATGTAAGTCGCAGCAAGCCCGCTTCCTCCAAACCCACTGCCACCACCACAGAGAGGGCTGGCTCTCCTGGGAGCCAGGAGGCTCGTAGGAATGAGCTGGGAAGAGCAGTCGCACCCCGGGGAGTGGGGCCGGGACCCACCCTGCGGGGGGTGGGGACAAGGAAGCAGAGGGGAGAAGCTGGGAGTTCGCTGAGTCTGACTCAAATACGTATCAGTGGGGAGAGAGAGGAGCATGAGCTTTAAGCTGCCACTGGTGCCACCAGCCCCAGCAGCTGCACTGGGCAAAGTTAACTCCTCCCAGAGGCTCCCTCTGAGTTCTTTCCCTGCAGCAACATTCAGAAAGCTGAGCTCTTGGTCTTGCCTTCTCTGAAGTGCGACCAGGTGCTCAGACAAGTTCTCCTGTTCTTCCCTGACAGACCATGGAGCCCAGACGAGTCTGCGGTTCCATCAAAGCGGTTAGCATGATGGTGGGGTGGGGGGCGAGGGGATACCCCCCCGACAAGGAGCCGTGTGTTCATCTATGCCGTGAACATCAGGAGCACTGAGTCCTCACTCCCCTGTCATTTATCATGTTTCCTCATTCATTCATTCATGATTAGCTCAGATACGCACTAAGTCCCAGTGAGGTGGCAAGCACTGTGCTAGGCAATTATGAATAAGACAGGAAGGGCCCTGTCTTCATGGAGTGTATATTCTGGCAGCAAGAGATATGATTAAAGAAGCCATTACAACAAGGTGTGATGCTGGATGCTGGGCCACAGCTGGGAAAGGACAAGGGAATGTGAGGGACTCATAGTGGGGTTGGGTGTCGAGGGAAGGAAAGTTTAAGCTGATTCCTAAAGGAAGCTTGGAGGCACCCTGTAAAGGGACAGATGGAAAGGAATGAGTCCAAACAAAAGGAATAAAGAGCAGATGCAAAGTTCTGAAGGTAAGAAAGGATCCAGTAAAACTTAGGAACCTCACGACGACGTAACTGGAGGGTGAGGGCAAGGTCGGAGAGAAAAGTGGAACAGGCGGCTAGCGAGGCCAGGCAAGGTCCTGAATGCCTTGGACTTTAGGAAGCAGACTAGCTTCCCTTCAGTCTTAATTTCCTCACCTGTACCTTCATTCAGTCATCTCCCCAGGGAGCTTAAGGGACTCCAAGATCAAGACTTGAAAGAACAGGGAGCCCAGAGCCTCCACATCCAAGAGGACAAAAGGGGGTGGGGGAGGCGAGGCTGAGGCAGACAAATGACAAGTGTTGACAACTAGTGAGCTGGGAGGTAAGCCTCTCTCCCTCCAGGAGTGTGTGCGCGCACACCACACACACGCACACACGCGCACACACACGCGTGCAGTCAATCCACCCGAGCAGGCACAGGCTGGAGGAAGAAATCAAGCAAGCTCACCAAGCCAAGCGTAACTGCAGCGCTCCAGCTCTTATTTTTCAGACTCTCTTCCCCAGTCTGATCGATCAATCCCACCACATCCCTTTGAGGTAAGATAGGAGCCAGCATTATCCACCCTAATTGCAACCAAGGAGGAAACCAAGGCTGACTAGGATGAGGCCTCCCCACCAAGGTCACCTAGGGAGTTACTGCTGTGGCTGAAAAGGGGCCACGCTGGGAGGAGGCCACCTTATCTCCCTTGAGTGGGTGGGTTCCCTAAGGAAGCAGCAGGGGAGAGAACATGGCACACGGGACAGAGGGCATTGCCCAGCTTCCAGGGCTTGGCCAAGATGTTTGCTACTCAGGAGAAGGGAGGGTCAAGGTGGGGACAACAGCCATCATCCCAAACAGGTGCGCCTGAGATCCCAGCCCTGGGTCTGAGAACACCTTGTCCGTTCTGACAGCTCATCGTCTTCCATGAACGGACATGCTACTTCCAGGGCCGAGATGTCCCACTCAGCTGGCTGGGGGCTGGGCAGAGATGGCTAGGCAGGACTCCCCATGCCTTTCCCCACTTCCCTCAGGGGAAACTATCGCCAGCTCGGAGCGTGAGCAGGAGAGGGACGGACAGGCTGACGGGCTCCTGCGGGGCCGCCAGCCTGTCCAGCAGCCCCGAGCGGGGCCGTGCTGCCAGACGTAGGAGGCAAGGTAAGATCAGATCCCGCGTGCGGGAGGTAACCGGACCCTGGCTCTCCTTCTCATCTAGGCTATTTTTAAGAGTGGCTGAGAGAGGCCCAGGCCACAGGGCCGGGGGAGTGAGATTACCTTTGCCGCGGCTCCGTAAATAAGTCTGCCCCAGAAAGAGGAGCCCGAGCAGGCAGACCGGCAGGCCCAGCAGCATTCAAGACAAGATTGATGGCTCCGGGTGCAGGAGAGCAGCCACTCAACAGCAATTCATCCTGCTTAAAAATGCCATGCCTCCCGCAACCGCAGCTCGGAGAAGGCAGCAGCCAGGCAGTGGCTCTGCCAGGAACATGGAAAACACACATGTGGTGTCTAAACACACAACTCTAGGGGTGTGTGTGTGTGTGTGTGTGTGTAGAAGGGTCAGATCCCTGAAGACAAACACCAAGGAAAGAGCTTCAGAAATGACAGAGGCCCTCTTCCTCCCGGCCCCCAGCTGTGCCCACCCCAGCAGCCTGCCCAGATGGCATCCTATCAGAGCCAAGGGGGTGGGGGGCGGGCAGTGTGCTGGGCAGCAAGGGGAGGATCTTGGAGAATCAGGTGTGAGAGGCAGAAGAGAAGAAACTAACAAAACAGGAAAGCTACAGCTGGTTATTCCAGGAAGACCAAACCAAACAAAAAAAGTGCCTAAAACCAAACTCAACCCAGTGCTTTCCCAGGATCACCCGTAACTTACACAATGGCCCTCCAAAGGCTTAGCAATAAAGAAACCACCATGACTGAAAAGAATAGCGTATGCCGGGGACTCACAGTGGGGACACCTAGCCAAATGGACAGTTGTGGAAATGACACTGAAGTTGGTATTGGAGAGGAACTTGGAGCTGAGGCGATTCAGTTATGTTTTTAAGGGTGTAAGTTATCTATGCAGCAAGACTGGCCCCCATGAGCATGGCAGACAGCGGTCATAGAGCTAAAAATAGGTCCTAAACTGCACTTCACTTCCTTGCCAGGAACAAAGATGTGAGAAGTACTTCCTTGTCCAATCACTCCCCAATTCACCCTCAAGCCCCTGGAAGTCTTTCTCATAACCCACCAGACCCTCGTCAGAGTGTAGGTAGGTCTTCTCTGATGCGTGGGGCTCTGTGCCTAGGAGAGCCCACCTTCCCTGTCCATCCGCCTGCCTGTCTAGCAGCTGGGTAGGCCTGTCTCCAAATGCACAGTCTGAGGCTCAGCCTCACCCAGCTGACCTAGGCTGCCTCTGGCCGCAGGTTACATTTTGAGCAGGACGGGTCCCTAGAAGACTTGCCCACAGCTTGGTCCTGAAAAGCTCATGTGATCGCACACTCACTTGCAGAAGGAGCACCTCCCTGGGAAATGGATTTCACAATATCACTGATGCAATCCACAGCTCCGCCCTACGCTCCTGTGCCCAGGGACCCATCCGCTTCGGATATCAGGTGTTAGGCCTCGGAATTTCAACCCCACGTGCTATCCCCACTTTTCCATGGGGTGGGTAGGAATCCAAGAAGTGGCTGTGGTGGCAGCTCCGCTCCCTGCCTGCAGGGTGCTGCCGGGGCCCTAGTTAGTGCTCACTTAAGCCCTCCCCGTGGCGCTGAGCAGAAGAGGATGGATGCTCTTTTCTTCCCCTCCCCACTCCATCTCCTCTTTCCTGGACCACACAAATGTGAGCAGCAACAAAGCCCAGGAGTGAGAAATGGGGGAAATATGGACTGATGCTACCCTTTCTTAGCAGGAACAAGGGTGCAGGCTATTGCAATAGCTTAAATACAGTCTTTCTTACACTGAGAAGTTAGACCCTCTCTATCTTTATTTTCTCTTTAACTGTAAGGTTTGACCTCCTTGCCTGCTTCTTATCTTGTCCTGCCCCTTTATGCTACTTCAAACCTGCTTTTAACATGTTTTGGTACTATGGCAGCCCAGGTCAGAAGATTAAATCCTAATATTTCCCTGGAACTTTTCTGCCAATGCAATGACCAAAATAGAACATTCTTCTACTCCCATGCATCGTAATCTCACTGCATATTCAGACACCTTAAAGAACAGTCAAATACATAAACACTCACTAAAACAGCACGAGAACCATGAGACACCCAGTGCAGAGTACTCTAAATCTATCTCCAACTTCCTTCCCATCCCCAAGCTTTAGTCTGGCACCTCCATCTGTCTACCAGACGTCTCCACCTAGAAATTACAGCCCAATATACTACAGCTCAGTATGGCTAAGAATGAGCACACGCCTCCCAGGACAGCAGAACAGGGAGTTTTAGGATCACAGGTGATCCTAAACAGGGAGTTTTAGGTGACGGGGTGACAGCGAGGTCCAGGTGAGCATACCACCTGTGGGTGGCATCACCAGCGGTACCTGAGCCAAGCTGCTTCCTCTCCTCAGAGCACACTCTGCTTTCCCACATTCCACAGTTCACACCCCGACCCAGCCTGGCTGCCAGTCCATCATTAGCAGGGTGTGGTTTGAGGTTCTTAAAGCCAGATTCATATCCATGGTGGCCAGCATCAGGGTTCCCAGTGCATTTACAGCATTCTGGTCATTCTAGTCCACTGCTGTTTGGTAAGGTCTTACCCAGACCCTTCTGCTCCAACTTTGCCACCAGGCAGGAACCTCAGGCCTACATGTCACAACTTGTCCACCCTCATCATGG